CAATAGTGAAAAGCTCACCTTATAAAATTATTGCAGCATTAAATATCCAATCATAATGGTACACCTGTTTCAGTTTTGATTAAATTATACACACCGAAGCTTTCAAGTAATTTTAACACAAAATCACTTAATTTTCACGCAAATGTATTAATTTTCTCCTAACTTCCCGGCGACATAGATACAAGTCTACTGAAGGACAATGTATCGTCGAAGTCGTTAATCAGCAAGCTGCTGGCGCAATCGGCGAGCATAGTACGGAGAGCTTCAGAATTACATTACCTTGAATTTAACATTTTTAAAATACAATTACAAAACATAATGAAGTCGTCATTTAAAATTTGTATCAATTAACTGCTATATATCCTACAAGTATTACGACATCTAAACAATGAAAGCTCTTAAACTGGATTAAGTTATTTTCAAGATTACTTCTGAAAATTACAGTATTTATTTCAAATTGATATTGCTTTATTAAAACGAGAATAACTGTTATTTGTTTTGATCGGTCACGACAGTTTAAGACTGCTAAACAAAGCGAGTATTCGAACAACAAAAGATGGAATAGAATAGAAGAATAGATAAAGATCTAAACTATTCCTAATTTTTGAATTTGTATTTAAACAAAACTTGTAATTAAATTATTGTCCATGAATTAGTTCAAGCATATTATTTGTTCTATATAGTTCTCGACATTCGGGAGATATATGTGACCTTATTAGATATTATAAGGACAAATTTTAGATTAGCACGTCTGACCGAGCTTGTTTACGAAAGGTATGAGTTTGAGTTTAACGTTACAATACATTTTTAAAAATAGTCGTGAATTAATAAATAAATATAGTAAAGATAAAGATCTAAACTATTCCCAATTTTTGTATAAATTCATTTTCTTTAAATCCTATAAATACCATATCATCCTAAACTAGTTCACGTAATCTTCAGGATTACACCCTATAGATAACAAACGCTAATTTTACTTTCGTAATATCATTAATAGATGACAAAACTAAGCCTGATTAGTTGAAAAATTACAATACCTATTCATATTTAAAACATATTTTTAATTGGTTTAGTAAAATGAGAACAATGATTTGCTTTCGAGCAACCGCAACTATTCAAGCATACGATTGCTAAACAAAGCGAGTATTCGGACAACAAAGGACACAAAAGGCGCTGGGTAAAGATTCAAACTATTCTCATTTTTTGTAAAACAAGTTTGTTATGTAAATACTAAAAATATCTTAGAATAATTACAGCATCCAAACAATGAAAGCTCTTAAATTAGGTTGAGTTATTTTGTAAAAATTCCCTATAGACAACAAACGCATATTTTCTTCTTACTGTAACATTACTGTAGATGAAAAAATTAAGTTTACTTTGTCCAAAAATTAAAGTATTCATTTCTAAAATTTCTTTTTATTGTTTTATTAAAACGAGAACCATGATTTGGTTTCGAGCTACAGCAACAGTTAAGCAGAAAGCTGTTAAGGGAAACCAGTATTCGGACAACAAAGGACCGAAAAAGCGATCAGTAAAGATCCAAACTATTTCCAATTTTTGTGGAAAAATATGTTATTGAAATACTAAAAGTATCCCACAATGATTGCAGCAAGCCAACTACGAAACCTCTCAAACTAGGTTGAGTTATTTTCAAGATTACCACCTATAGATAATAAAAGCAAATTTTCTTCTTGTAACATTACTGTAAATAAGAAAATTAAGTTTAGTTTGTCCAAAAACTAAAGCATAAATTTCTAAAATTTCTTTTTATTGAAAAAGAAAAAGAAGAACAATGATTTGCTTTCGATCTACAGCAGCAGTTCAAGCACACGACTGCCAAACAAGGCAAGTATTCGGATAATAAAGGACATAAAAGGCGCTGAGTAAAGATTCAAACTATTTCTAATTTTTGTAAAGAAATATGTTATTTAAAAAGTAAAAGTATCCCACAACGATTACAGCATCCAAACTACGAAAGGAAAGTTATTTTCAATAGTCCTCGATATAGATAGCAAACGAATATTTTCTTCTTGTAATATTACTGTAAATGAGAAAATTAGGTTTAGTCAGTCCAAATATTAAAGTATTCCCTTCTAAAATTTCTATTTACTTCTTTGTTAAAACGAGAACCATGATTTGGTTTCGAGCTACAGCAACAGTTAAGCAGAAAGCTGTTAAGGGAAACCAGTATTCGGACAACAAAGGACCGAAAAAGCGATCAGTAAAGATCCAAACTATTTCCAATTTTTGTGGAAAAATATGTTATTGAAATACTAAAAGTATCCCACAATGATTGCAGCAAGCCAACTACGAAACCTCTCAAACTAGGTTGAGTTATTTTCAAGATTACCACCTATAGATAATAAAAGCAAATTTTCTTCTTGTAACATTACTGTAAATAAGAAAATTAATCTTAGTTTGACTGAAAACTAAACAATTAATTGTTAAAATTTCTTTTAATTAAACTAAACAAAGCGAGTATTCGGACAGCGAAGGACAGAAAAGGCGCTGGGAAAAATCTAAACTATTCCTAATTTTTGTANTATTTGTAAATGTATTTTGTGCGTATGTATCTGTTTATTGAATTCTAAGCTGGAATATGTAATAAATAAATAAGGCAGGGCTGGAGGAATTTTGCAAATAACACTATAATCTGTACACAAAAATATTTCTGGATCATCATATGATAATAGAATTTTTTTTGATAAAAGAAATATCACAAAATTCATAAACTGCTGTAAAATTCTAATATTTCAAACCATATAACAAAGTTATTCTGTTTTTACATTGCATAAATTCGTGATGAAATTATAAAGACTTGAGTTATATTTCTCGAGGCCATTCGGTTATCTGATTATAAAAAAAGTCATTCAACCGAATGAAAAGTCGATAACATTGACCAAATGTCCTTAATATACATACACAAATCAGCTCTATGTTAAAACACAGAAATAAATAACAACATCGAAGGAAAAATAATAGTAAAATAAAGAAATAATATATGCTTTTGATATAAAATTCTTATAGTAATAACGCTTACAAAACTTATTTTTTTTTTATTTACTCAATTTCAATACTTTTTAACGTTCAATAATGCATTTATGCATATAAAAAACATGTTTAGAAAAGGAATTATCTGTGGCAAACTTTTAATTTATTTGTGAACGTCTACTTCTCAGTTGTTCTGAATCTGGATCTAAAAATACTGTAATTTTAGATAATTATATTTTAACTCATAAATATTATATATAAAAAAAAATATGAGTGCTGTCAGCACAGGGCAAAGTAGTATTACGTAAATGAAAAATGTTAAATGAAAATGTTATTTCTTATGATGAGGTGTACGATGTGTTGCATAACTATTTACAAACAATTCCTTTAAATTTTAATCATTGATTACTACATCTATTAAAAAACCATGATGGCCGACATCAGTGACAATGCGACAACAATTGAAAATGAATAATGGCCGACAACAGCAACAATTAGAAATTAATGATGGCCGACACTACGTCATAGTATTGTTTACAAAAGTGAATTTCGACCACACGAAGCAAAGGTGCTAATAGTTTCGATCTCACAGTGACTGAGAAGGGAAGAACTAGTGTAGTATTAAGTATTTTTCCTATTTTGTTTATACAACCGGTGATACGTGGAAATTGTATTTTCATGGAAATTTTTGGTCCTTACGGTTAGTCAACACACAAAACAAGAAAGTACGTGTACAACAAATGTAATAAACTGAATGAAGATGATTAGTTGAAAAATTACAATACCTATTCATATTTAAAACATATTTTTAATTGGTTTAGTAAAATGAGAACAATGATTTGCTTTCGAGCAACCGCAACTATTCAAGCATACGATTGCTAAACAAAGCGAGTATTCGGACAACAAAGGACACAAAAGGCGCTGGGTAAAGATTCAAACTATTCTCATTTTTTGTAAAACAAGTTTGTTATGTAAATACTAAAAATATCTTAGAATAATTACAGCATCCAAACAATGAAAGCTCTTAAATTAGGTTGAGTTATTTTGTAAAAATTCCCTATAGACAACAAACGCATATTTTCTTCTTACTGTAACATTACTGTAGATGAAAAAATTAAGTTTACTTTGTCCAAAAATTAAAGTATTCATTTCTAAAATTTCTTTTTATTGTTTTATTAAAACGAGAACCATGATTTGGTTTCGAGCGTCCGCGGCAGTTCGTGCATACGACTGCTAAACAAAGCGAGTATTCGGTCAACAAAGGACAGAAAAGTCGCTGCGAAAAAATCCATTTTCTATTCTTAATTTTTGTAAAAAATGTATGTTATTTAAATACTAATAATATCTTAGGATGATTACAGCATACAAATAATGAAAGCTCTTAACAAAAAACATAACAAACCTACACTTAATTAGTTAAAAAGTTAGAGTATTTTTTTAAAAAAATATTTTTGATCGCTTTACTAAAACGAGAACAAGCTGGATAGAGCTTTTTCAGGATTATCCCCTATGCACAAACGTTTTTCTTTTGTAACATCA